AAGCCTTAAACAATTGAGACTGTGAGTCTCAGGTCTTGGTTCTTTTCCCCTGTGTTCATAGCAGTCAATCTGTATAATACCGTTCTGTTGAAGTGAAACTGTTTTCATTGGTAAGGTCATTTGCATTCATTACCTTTCATTTACGTAGAAACAAGAGGTAAATGGCTATAAGCCAGTTCCCTTGTACACTTATAGACATAACCAACCCTAGATAATAGTACCTCTTACTTCAATATCTGCCTTTATGTAATTCTAGTAGAGAAAATGCTGGAGTTCCAGGGCTATTTTTTCCAACACGTGAAAGCCTTCCACAGAAGTGATGGTGCATGGCCGTTGAATGTTCCACTCTGCACTGATAACTACTTGGTGGTCTATAGCAACCTCTGCAGTTTCCTTTCAGCACACAAATACACACTGGATTCTATAGCCAAAGAACTAAACGTCCATTTCCTATGACTGAAATCCAAACCTTGCAGTTATCCAAAATATACTTTTTAATAACTTCCCAGGTAAATTACACTGAATTTTAAAACTACTCTTTTGAATGTCTTTTTTTAAAAAAAAGCTGAATGATATGTTCTTCATTTAAATGATGTTAATCATATTTTGCAGTTTGAAAAATTTATAAATTATGCATTAATGTTTATTTTGTAATTAAAATATAGATTTTCTATAATACAATTAAATTTTTACTTCATACTCCTAGGAGCTATGACTCAAATTGGATTACTAATGAACTTAGAAGTATTTATAAGGGATCATGTCTCAAAGTAGGGTGTGTAGAATTTGAAGATAAAAATTGTTTTCATATATTCTCCATTGTATGTCCATCTCAGTTTCAAACTTTTAAGCAAAGATATCCATATTTCTCTAACATTCAAAGCATTTTCTGGAGAGATTGTTTTGTATGATAGTGAAATTGATGTGTGATTTCTTCTGTTTTTTAAAAAAAACCTCCTTGTTTTCCCTCCACACAGTGAACATGGCCACAAGCAGGCTCATAGGGGCAGTGGCTGGCACCATTCTGGCCCTGGGGGTGATTTTTGGAGGCACAGGGTGGGGAATAGAGTAAGCATCCTCATAAGTTTCCTAGTGTCTTTCCTTAGTGCTTGGTGTGTGAGGTGATGCTTGAACCCTGACCCTTCCACGTTTTGTCTTGTCGATTGTTTCCTGTGCTGGTGTAATCTGTGGTGTGATTTGTATGTATTTGTGTCTTGTGATTTTTCTCGTGCACTATAGAACCTTCTCCTGTCTGGAACAATGTGGGGCATAAAACAGTTTTGGGGTGCTTATTAAGGCAAGAGCTCAAAACTTCCTTTGCTTTCCCACTTGTAAGTTTTAAAGTACAGATCTTAATTTTTTCCTATCAATTGGCAAAATGATTTTTATGTGAGTTTTCATTGAAGTATAATGAATTTGCTTTTAAGACTCAAATCAATCTGTACATATAGCTAAATACCAACAGCTATTACACTTTTTAGAGATAGTGGGAATGACAGCCACTGAGTGCTTTCCTACTTATTTAGAATGATATAGAAGGCTTTAACTCAGTTTTACAAAAGAAGACATTAAGGACACTGTTTTCTTTCTTTTCATTTTTTTTTTGTTATAACATTGGTTCACAGTCCAACTTCAAAGTTTTTATAACATTGGAGCAAGGCATATGACAGATGAAAATATATTAAGTTCAAACCCACACAACCTTAGCAAGCAGCTGCAATTCATCTGATTGGTTTGTCTTTCAAATACACAGTGTCCAGACCAGTGCGTTGTTTGTCACTTGCCCATTAGACTCTTCTGATGCTTGAGTTTAGCTCTCTCTGCCCTTGATCCACACTCTCCAGATGGCTGAGGTTGCTAGGCACAGACTAGCTTATCAGGAAGCCCGGTTCTCTTCATTAACCAGAGTGTATTTACATACCCATGGCAGGAGTCACCCTTCACACCTGTGTTTTCTATTTACTGGGGCTCTGCTGACATTTCACAATAGCCAATGTATATATATATTAATGTCTCAAGGGACACCGGCTATCTTTGACTTATCCCAAAGAATGAGCATGTTCATTGTCAGCACAGCCCTCAGTTTCACTAGTTAGGGGACACATCTGCTCTCCTTACACACTCGAGTCAGGCAATTTGGGCACCGGGAGAGCAGCAGGAGAGGAGCAGGTGTGCAGGTTACACATGAAGCTATTCTACTGTAGTTAGAAGGCCTGGCCAGCCTTGGATCTTTTTTTTAAAAAAAATATTTAAACAGAGTCTCATGTCACTTTATTGCTTATATTCACGTGGAACTTAACAGGGTAGCCCAAGGCGAGCCTTGAGCTTGCAGCAATCCTTCTGCCTCAGATTCTTAAGTGCTGGGATTACAGGTATGAGCACTCATGCTCACCTTAGCCTATGCCCTATATAACTTATGTTTCATCAATATGGTCTGTGAAGCTAGTTAGATCAGGAGAGAGGGGGGAGGGGGGCACACTGAAAAAATGGCTTGTATTTCTTTTCACCTATGAGAAAATGAAGCATGTAACAGTGCTTTAAAACGTTTGACTACAATAACTTGGTCCTGTAAGTTGCACCTTGTGACTGTTGGCCAGATGTTCCTGTCCCAGGGCCAAAATCTAGACATATGTTTAAGTGAAATTCTTCTTAGAAGAAAGGCAGTTTTCGAAAGATCACCCCAATGTGTTTTCTATATTACTTAGTGGCCATAGTTCAGTGCCTTCAGATAGAACTGAAACAATAAATTCTGGTCATCCCTTGAGTCTTAGAGATGGCCAGGATCCAAGAAAAGTCTTCGTTGTAAACAGTCCTGTCACCAGCATTCATTCCCATCCATCCTTTCCCGTGTGGCTGCTTTGTTGCTATTTATGCTTGTGACAGGTAAGTGTGAAAGCATACATTCTTTTCCCTAAAAATAAGTTTTGCTGTTCTTGTGCCATAGACATTTTCTCTAATGGATTACTTTAAGTTCCATTTATTTGTGTTTGATAATTAATGAATTTTTAGAAAAATAGAGCTATATTGTACAACACAGTTTTAATACTTCCTGGCTTAATTGATAGTGCAATGTTCACTTCATCAATAAGGCTTCCAGGGAAAGAGTTAACTTCTAAATTTCTACTCCTTAGTTTAGAATTCTACCCCAGGGATCACTTCTTGTCCATTCTGTACTGAATCTAATTCCATCCTGTTTTCTGAGCCAACAGCATGCAAACTGTCTTAAGTGTATGCACATACACAGCACTATCAGTACTTTCAAAAAAAATTATTTCTTCACATTTCACTATGGAGAAAGTGGCGAGGAAATGTGTGAAGTTTTGTCAGGGCAGCCGTTCACAAACCTTCTGTGAAGGGCCTGGTGTAAATAGCTTTGTATTCCAAGCTACAGGGTATCCATCCCAACCATTCAACATTGCTGCCGACAGCCGCCATAGTCGGTATGTGGGTAAAAAATATGGCTTTGCTACAACAAAATGTCTTTGCCCAGAGAGATAGTGGGGGCAGATTTGGTCTGTGGGTTCCAGTCTTCCGAGCCTTCATTTATAACATGAGTCTTGAAGTCAGGATGGTCTACATTCCTGCCCCACTTGTCCCTGTGGGAGGATTCAATGAGCTGTGTCAGAAATGAAGAGTCGGTGCTCACTGTACAGTCTCTAAAAGGCACTTACCATTCTCACTGCTGGTATTTATTATCCTTAATGTATTGCCAAAGGCCACGCATACTCACATTCTCTAGACCCTCCATGATTTAAGAGCATGTCACTGGAGATGACCCCCATCCTGGAACTCTGTTGTGCCCACTTACACCTCTAGTACTATGTGGTTTCTGTGCAGAACATTCAGCTATACCACTGTGGGATGTCAGCAGTGGTGTCCACTCATGTGTTCAGAGAAGAGACTCTCCTATGTCTGTAATAGACTTAAAGGTTTAGGAAAACCAGCAAGAGTGACTAGTTTGTGACTTACAGGCATATATATATATATATATATATA